GGGGTGGTGGCGGCGGCGGCCCGGGGGCGGCCGCTACTACAAATGGACCCACATCCCTCAGCAGCGCCGCGCGCCCGCCTCTGGCCGCCGCCGCCGCTGCTGCTCTGTCCACGTCGCGAGAGAGACGCGGGAAATATCTGATTTTTGAGCCGGTGATGTATCGCAAGGAGGGTCAAGCAGGCCGTGATGGGCGCGCTGTCAGGCTAACAACGCGCCGCCGCCGCCGCCGCAGTGCGGGGGTTGAAATGCCGCATACGCCTCGACTACTGCGTCTGTGTGTTTTTGGGGAAAGCGTTGCGCCGAAAAAGCCGCCTGCTGCTGCTCACGTTTGCCCGCGTTTTGTTTCTTTTTCGTATTTATATAAGCTTTTTACTTCCTTTTGCCGGGAGAGAGAGAGAAAGAGACGGTTTATCAGTCTCATTTCTCTCTGTGCCGCATCCGTCGCACGTGGTAATAAGATAACGCCAGCGAGCAGAGCGCGCAAACCCGACCTGGATGAAAAATTCGCGTGGGGGCGTGCGGTGGCGGGATTTGGAACGGGTCACTTTGTTGGTCCCTTACTGTAGTACTGGTGGCTAACATGAATGGCGTTGGAACTTAAACTTACGACGTTTTCAACATTTCAACTGGCATCCTTTGCCAAAAATAAAGTGAAAAAATATATAAATGTTTTTGTTTTTTATATTACACAGATTATGTGAAGTTTTTGCTTCGAAGAGAAGCAGCATGTAGTGACGTCTAGGCAGTGTGTTTGACTACAGCATTGTGTCTCTCTCTTTTTGCCATCAGTTTTGTGCGACGAGTGCCTCCGGACGCGGCGCGAGGCGCTGCAGGCGGAGCTCTGCAACTACAAGCGCGCCAAGATCTACGTGCGTCGGGTGGCGGACGACACCAAGCTGGACCTGGGGCAGTCGCCCGTCGTGGACAGCGCCGACCCCGAGTTTCACGTGAGTAACTAAAAGCGATCGTGCTCAAACCTCGCTCAAACCACGTGACTTTAGGGGGTGGGGGTGCAAGTATTGTGCGGGTCCCAAAAGTTTCAGGACGGTCATTGGAAACTATGGGGACCCATGATATTTTTACCCTGGGGTACAAATATCATGGGGTCTCTGTGGACTCTGATTACTTTGCTGAACCTTTTGGGACCCCATAATATTTGGACCCCTCCCCCTAACGTCACGTGGTTTTGGCACGCGGTCTTTAACTGATGTATCCTGCTTCTTCGACGCCTCTTCGCCTCTCCGGAGGGCGGGCGCGACCAGCAGCAGCGCTCCTCCTCCTCCGCGGGCGAAACGATTTTCTCCCCGCACGGCGCGCCCAAGAAGACCGCAGCAGCTCTGAATCCGCCTCATCGCACAAATAAATATCGCCCCAATCGTAACGACCTGCACGGCGCGGCACTGTGGTTAGGCCCCCGTTGGTGCTGGCCGTAATGGCTGTTGCCGGCCGGAACTGCGTGGCACTACACTACATTGTTTGCGCGAGTCATTCTTCTCGGAGACGACTGAAGGGCTGGCCGCGCGCGACTTCTCGGTGGGGATTGGCTGTATGTAGTGCGTAGTAGTACACTGACAGTTGCAGTTTGGCTGCAAGTAGCGACGGCCCCAACACGAAATGGGCCCATCCTGTAATGTGCCTGTCGCTCGAAATTCTTCCCCGTCTTTTGTCAGCGGTCGTTTGAGCGCCCGGCGGCCTGCTTCTCTGTTCCTGCAGCGGTTTGTTTAAATTTTCGCCCTGCGCGTTCCGACGCCGACGTTCCCCCGCAACGCTCCGGAGTCTCTTCCTGGACGCGCCGTCGGAGTCCCGGCGCCGACCGATCAAGGCGCTTGAACTGACCACTCCGACGCTCCGGATTGAGTTGTTAGCGCTGCGTCGTTAAAAGATGTTTCCTCCCGCCGCACCCCGCCACGCCCCGCGCCCGACGTCGTTTATGAAGTCATTTTTGCAGGAACAAAGGAATTGCAATGATAGGTTGCTATACGGTGGGGGCCAGGCCTGCCTTGTTTGAGCGGTCCATAGCGCCCTGCGTGGCGGGGCGGGGCAGGGCGGGGCGGGAGGCCGACCTGTACTTAGCTTTTAATCATTCCGTGTTAGGCAGGACGCCCCTGGGCTGGCTGAGGCCGAGGCTAACCTCTTTGAGTTTGCGCCGAAATGCACTTGCACGGCCTGGGCGCCGCCAAGTCATATTATGTGCTGGCTGCACCACTATCGGCGCGTAAATCTCCGCGCACGATACGTAAATTCTCTGTTGTTTTACTAATTATTTATTTTTTATTCTGGCGTGAACAAATACTGGCTACATAATCAAAAAAACAAATTCGAATGGCGAAATAAATAAATAAATAAATCGACGCTGTGTGATTTTTCCCTGCCGTCGTATTGAGTAGGGGCCGGCCTCACCCCACCTTGCTTCGTGCTGTGGTTTGTTTGGGTCTGGTTGTCAAAAAGACTCCCCCTCCCCCCTCTCCGGGAACATATCGGCTAATAACAGTAATCGTGATGAGCATTGTTCTTCCCTAAGTGAGTGGACCAAGGCGGACCGGAGCCTCGAGGGGCCTAAGTGAAAATCGACTCACACACTCACACAATCGAGCCGGTACACGTGTTTTCTCGCTTTCACAGCATAGCATGCGCCCATTGTGCTGGCACTGTGAAAATGTTTATCGTAGTTTTATGAAAAAGTTGTCTACACTTTCGCTAAAGGCACTAACGGTTACAATCCATGCCAGTTATTATGTCTTAGCTATTCTTTGTAGCATTCAAAAGTTCATACCCCATTTTTTTGACATTTTCAGTAAATTTGTTTTATTTTTTTATCTGTGCAAAACATGTCACCACCTTCCAATGCTTTTGAAATAATGTTTCTAAAGTGTAAACGAGGAAAGGGAGTCACACAAATTTTGCACCTGTACGTAATTTTAGCCTTATCTCTTTTAAGTCTTACTGAATGGACTGCCCCCCGAATAGGGCAGCCCCCTCAGGTGTGGTGATGCCCCCGAGGTGTGCTGCTGGGTTAACTCTGCCTGCTCCTGTCGGCTGCCGTGGCGTGGCCCGCCCTCCGCCCTGCCCCGAAAAGGAGTTGCGCCACGCCTCGCCACACCAGCACTGTGAAAAATTGTCGTACCGGGTACAGGAAAATTTTCCATGG